CTACATATTTATCTCTCCACTCATTGATGATAAAAAGCATTATAAGCATCGAGTGACATAGAAAAGTTTTGCCTATAAAACTACCAAATTATTACAGTTTAAATTCTAAAATATGGCACCAATATGTATATACATATAAAAAACTTCTACCAGAATCGTAAATCCTGTAACAAAGCATCTTAGGAGTCGGTGCCAAAATCGAGAGAACCTTTTACTACGTCTTGATTATATTGCTATTTTCATTACCAAAATAGGTATGCATATTTTTGAATGTTAGATTAAATTTCAATACTTTGAAAATTATATACACAATTATCATTTTGACAAATACAATAGTTAAAAACAGGAATAAAATTTAAATGAAGAGTGCATTGATTTTGTACTGTATATATTGAATTTGATGCATAAGTAAGAATGTATTTTCATAAACTTGTAAACATTAGATACTTAAAATTTCTTTGTCATCTTTGCATATATTTTATTACATAACTTTGCAGTTGAAATACTGGATTTATTTTGCAGTGCAGTTATAATATAAAAACTAGATTGCATTCTATAAAAGAATATAAAGGAAAAGAAAAAAATTACCTAACAATAAGACTTTTGTTACAATTGATGTAACAGTCAAAAGCAAATCATAATATTGACTTTGGATTTGGTTGCATCAGTCATTTTAGTTAATTTAATAAAATTTTTCAAAAGGCACATATGTAACTTTCACAGTTCTATCACACTATTTTTGGTAATAAGTAATTGAGTTCTGCAGAATAACATTCAGTTTATAATAAAATTTAATTTTTTTTGTATTCTATATATTGAAGACAGGTCATAATAATTCAGTACAATAGTAAATAAATACTAACTACTCAAATTTTGATCTGTAGACACACAGCTCAAAAGCACTCTGCACATTTGTCAATAAAAGTAAATGCCTAATTGGCAATTTGAATCTTAAAGTCTTACTGAAAATTTCAAATAATTATGCTACTGAAAAAACAATCTCAGATATGCTTTGTGATACTATAATATTTTTTTCTATCACCATTACTAATCTAAGTGCAGATTTATGATATAACAATTTAGCAAATATTGAAGACTAATAAGAAAAACACTTTTGTTTCCAAAAGGTGCACACGAGATACTTCAAAAATATTAATGATGGCTTTAGTTATTTACATTTTCAGAATATTAATTGATCTAGATCATATGTTTTGGAAAGATGCCAAAGATAAATAGGTTCCATATAATACTTACATATCAATGAATTGTCAACTGGAATAACTTTGACACAACGTTTTATCAATTTAAATAAGTATCTTATCACAACTGACAATATATATATAGTACAGAGGATAAATTCTCTGCAATAAAAATAGCACAAAGCTAAAATCCAATTAAAAAATATTTCCCATACTACTTGCAGTTTTTTCTGTCAGTAAATGTGTTAAAGTTTAATTTATAATCAATTGCATCTTTCAGGATCATCTGCTTGAAGAAAAAATATCCAGCTAATAGTAAATTTTTTTTAACTTCAGTAATAAATATATTTAAAATTCCACTAGAAACAAAAATTTTTACGACAGTTATTATATGCAATAAACTTTCGTTGATTTGAAGTTTAATAATTGAAAATGCAACTTTTCAAATTATCTAACTTGTGTGGCATATTATTAATATCTGTGGAAAACAAGTTGTACTAAACATTGCAAATAAATTTCACAATAAATTACAATTAAATTCAACACCAGAGTTTGAAGATAAGCAATAAATCTTCAAGTATTTAAAATAAAATGAATGGTAATTGGTTGAGCAAGGGTTTAGAATACAAACAAACATTTTAATAAACCTTCCTAAACAAATCTTATTGCATATCTTTTTTAAAATCTGTAATGGAATTTTCACAGAATGTTAACTTTCATTGTTCTAAAGCACTAACATCATTTTACAATATTTTCACTCTGAATAAACATCCTGTTTATGTTTAAATTTTGTGATTCAATATGTTTTTTTCTTCTCTTCATAAAAAGTTATATTGCTTTCTAAGTTTATGTTCTTTGAAACTTAGATTAATGAGTTAATATGAATTTTTAAATGAATGGCATTTCTTCTCTAAAGATCATTCTAACATATCCATTATCATCCGGAAATATTTTGAGACAAGTTAACAATTTTTCTAATTAAATTTCACTTGAATGCAAGTAAAATTTTTGGAAAAACATGAAAAAACATCACTTTTCATCAAAATACTAAGGCACATTTATAGCAATATAATATAAACAACCCACAAGAAAATACACAAGTTTTGTCACAGATACTAAAATTAATCATCATGAAAGCAGAAATTTAGTTTTTTGGTAGAATTCCTATTTTGGACTTTGATTTACAACTTAAAATTCTGGTATAGCAATTCTCTGCAAGTTTTTAAAACTAAAAATAAAACCTACTTCTAACACTTTTATGTCATTTAGAATGGAAATAACAACAAAATTAGATGGAATCAATTATTAGAGATGCTAAACAATTTAACTGATTGTTGCTTCAAAAAACAATGTAAATAATAGTGATAAATTCTTTATCAATAAAATGCTCTCTTTTTTTCATTCTAAGACTTCTAAATATTTTTAGATGTCATCAACATTTAAAAGTTTATGCCATTAAAATCATTAAAGCGGCTAAATCTTAATTCCTTCTAAAACTAAACATAAAATATTTGCTACATAATAAAATAAAACCTAAGAAAAGCTACTGATGTTCAATAAGTCTTCTTTCCATCTCGCGAAGTAACGCCAGACGATATGCTTCGTATTTCATGACTATACCTTCTAATTCTTGTCGATGCAATCTATTTAACATTCCCTGAAAGCAGTCTAATTCGGGTAGACGAAATAATTGCCACTAAAAAAGAAAATTGGTTCAAATGTTTTAGTTATGTGGCAAAACAGCAGAATGAATAACGAGGAAAAAATACCTTTAACTTATAATCAAGTTCTGGCGGTGCTCTCGAATATACATAAAGCCAATGAGGAATTTCTGAAAGGAAATTTAAATCATATTTATTTCTTTGTCATATCAAAGTTGTTATTAAATTTAATTATTTACTGTATTTACTCAAAATAATCCATGCACCCCCCTTTTAAGATATTGCTTTAAAAAAAGGAAAAAGCTTGACCAATTTATTACATATTTAACAAATTTTACTAATTTATAATTCTAACCCAATAGCAACCTTCCTTCTCACTGTTTTGTTGCATTCCATATGGCAGCAGTCTGTTTACAAGTTCAAGTGGTATTAAAAGATAAATGATTTTTTTCCCTTGGTATTTTTATCTGTATTAGATATACAAACAATTTATATGCAATATAGTATTTTATAATGAATTAACTTACTAATTAAAATGAAAGTAATTTACATAGTTTAATCTGAAGATGAAAAACTGCCAATAAACAAATAACTTATCCTTTATACCTAAATATCTTAATTTATTTACTGTCAGTTTCAGTTATATATTTAACTTACTTTATTTACACTCATTTTCATAAAATTACTTGCACAAAAACATTTAATAATATTGTTTGTAACTATTGACTATAGATGGTAATCATACTGAGCTGTCATCAACAGTTGATAATTGAAATTTATCACTAGCAAAATAAGAAAAATGCTTAGTAACTGGAAGCACTCGATTTCACAGGTTGCATTGCCAAATTTGTTTCAAATAAACCATGCACCCTTACTTTGTCATGATGTTTTGGAAAAAGAGTGCAGATTATTCAAGTAAATATTACCATATTTAGATTAGAAATAACTAAGTAAAAGAGTATATGCTAATATTAAAATTTAAATCTAATTTAGCATTTAATTTTAACCTAGAAAAATTTTGTACATTATTAAACGAAAAAATTGGCTTAAAAATTTTTCAAACCTTCTGTTAAATATGGATTTGCAGGAACTAAAACATTATGCTGATGGAAATCGGTATGTCTCGGAGGAGGCTGCCTCGTTTGAGCAATGGACAGTGTCGGTTGGATTCCGCAGTTTTGTTGACCGTACTGAGTGGCACACGGATGCTCATACTGAACAATTTTTGTGATTATAATAAAATTTAATTTTTTTTGTATTCTATATATTGAAGACAGGTCATAATAATTCAGTACAATAGTAAATAAATACTAACTACTCAAATTTTGATCNGCACTAGTTCTTTGTTTCATATAACACGAATTCGTGTAACACGGCAATTTTTTGGAACGTAACTCCCGTGTTATACGGGTGTTACCTGTATATACCTAATTCCCCCAACAGTACCTCAATGCCCCTAACCATTTTTTGCTGTGTGAGAAAGGCTTGGAAATATTCTTAGAAAAACTTTTCTATGATACTCACACTTACCATTATTCTCCACATCTGGAACCATTAACAGAAAAAAGGGAAAGGTTGTCAGTGACCCCCAACCCTTCCCTATGGTTACTGTTCAGTCCCATGCAGTACTCCAGCACCCCCTGCCACTCATTTGTTTTCACCCCCCTCTTACATTTACTCATTGCCCACTTTGGGAACCACTGATCTAGGATAGTATATAAATGGAATCTCAAGTTTTATAGATGGTTTAAATTTAAGGGATAAGGACAATATCCCAAGTGAACATGGAACAGGTTTTATAATAAGATTCAATTTCATTTTAAAATTAAACAGGCACTAGTGAAACATTTTTATTAAAATATTGATTAGGGATCAGTAATTTCAGTCTTACTTCAAGTTTTGATACTCGCCCATTACAATTTTAAATCTTTCAAAATTCTCAATATTTCAAACCTCCAAAAAATTTCTAGAACAGATCTTGTGGGAGATGAAAAAAACATCAAAAAACCACTCCCAACCTCACAAAAGAAGAAAAAACTCCAAATTTTAAATCTCCCAATTTCAAAAACATAAAGTATTGTAACCCCAAAATCAGTAATATTTTAAGGACACAGTAATATTAAACCACACAGTATCTTCGGCAAGATCATCGACGTAAATAAAGTGCAAAGTAAGATCAGAGATGAGAGCCCCACTGTGGAGTGCTTGATTAAAGCAAGTGTGCTAAAACATGATCGACAAGGGCATTAAAACTCATCTTCGCATTGAAATGCACCCGAAGGTCTCTCACAACCGACACACATTCAATAGCCACTCCGGATAATGTATAAATATTAAGCACTGGCCGTCTCCTACATGTGAATGACATAACTTTTGTTTTTCGCAGATTCAAAATTAATCCATGAGAGACAAGCCAAGAATGCATCCTATCAAACATCTTCCTGCAACAGGTCATCCGTCACGACTGGAATCGATACATCTAGATAATTTTATGTCATCAGCATGCATAAGAACATTTGAACCGGTTACCAAGGAAGATAAAGCCATCATTAAAAAGAGCAAACAACAACGGACCAAGTATCATCCCCTGCCTAACCCCCGACACAGGTAGATAGAATGTGGTCAGATAGAATGTTGGGAGACTTTCACTGTATAATGTCTGCCCATTAAATAGGAGCAAAAAGGATAAAGCTTTTAAAATAATAGTGAGGTTTACAGAATTTGTGGGAAGTAGAAAGCCACTAATATTTTTCATCTTGAAATACCGGTAGCAATTAGGAGATAAGTCTCTCCTTTTATTTTTTTCTGATTTTTTATGCAAATATGTCTTGATTTTTAATGGTTTTTGTGATTTTATTGCATTCCCACGGAAGGACTGGCCAGAAATGCTAGCATGTTTTTGTGATGGTAGATTAGCCTCCAGTTTTCATAGAATTTTTTAGCATTTTTAGGGTATAAATGTTGTGGGAGATGTTTTTTGTAGTTTTTTTGTGATTTTTGTTTTGTTTTTAATGGGCATGTGTTTCAAATTTGATGGTTTTTATTGTTTTTGAAACCTCCCACAAAGTTTTGTCCTAGAAATTTTTAAAATTTTTTGTTCCTTAAAATGTTGCCGATTTTGGGGTTACATGCTTTATTTTGTTTTCCAAGTTGGGAGATTTAAAATTTGGAATTGTTTTTCTTCGTTTTGTGAGGTTGGGAGTGATTTTTTTTTTTTATGATTTTGTTATCTCCCACCAGATCTGTCCTAGAAATTTATTGGAGTTTTGAAATATTGAGAATTTTGGGAGATTTCAAAAAGTCCTAAATTTTGAGAATTTTTGCTTGTTTTTTTGTTTTTTGGTCATCTCCAAGATATGTCACAGAAGTAACATTTTACATAATACTCTCTTAAGTTTAGTAAGGCTTATCATAATTTTCATTACAGATTAAACTAAAAAGTTTAAGCTAATCAATACAATTTATTTAAATATTTACATGAATTTATCTCTATGTTGATATTCAATATTTGTTTAAACTCTTACTTGAATTGGATAGATCCGAGATGAAATTTCAACAACCTTTCAATTTTTCCATTTTCAAATATTGTTTTTTTAATTCTATTATTTATGTTCTGCATTTAAAGCTTTAAAACAGATATTCAAGCTTGAAGTACTTTGAGTTTTTAACTACACTTTAAAGCAACGTGCACAAACGAACAAATTGTCCAAGTACCTTTTCTGAGCATGCTTGGTAACCTACCAATGTATTGGGAACACTTGCTTACCAACAGGTCCTAGCAGACAATTGTCAAAAGTGATTTTGTTCTTTATGTAGAGCATTAAATTTTGTTGCACAAATCATCAAAGTGCCTCATTTGAAAGGCACTTTACTGATTTAAATTTTGAGCACCAATGTATTTTATCATCTAGATCAGTGGTTCCCAACCTTTTTTCATTAGCGTACCCCGTGACATGTCATATCTCTAGATTGTACCCCTTGACGTGTCATATCTCTAGATTGTACCCCTCATTTAAGAAATTTAGTGAGTAATCGTATTGTTAATTTTACATATTGTAACTTTAAATTAAAGAAAAAAAAACTAAAAGAAAAAATGTATAATAAAGTTGTGATTGTTGCAAGGAACATTTTTTATCTAATAATTTTTTAATACTATTAGTTTGTGATACATAATATATTATTTTTTCTGCCATAATAACTAACTTTTTTCTGTACCCCTAAACAACCTATCGCGTACCCCTAGGGGTACGCGTACCACAGGTTGGGAATCGCTG